TGAGATGTGTTTAAATTCAGCAATGATTGAGAACTTCATATGTGCCAGGTGGGCTGAGCTTTTGGGATAGGGCTCAGGGAACAAGGGAGATCCGACACCAAGGCTCCTGGAGCTCGCCTAGTGGGGAGCCCAGGCTGCAGGCCGTGCTCCCTGGTGGACGACTACCAAAAAGGAGACCAAGGGGACCGTAGAAATGTATAGCAAAGGATTTATCCCAGTCTGAGGGGTCAGTGAAAGCTATTCTGAGGAAGAGAGACTTGAAATATAATTGCCCTTCCAACAGAGATGAGTGATTTTTTTAAATGGAGGAGCGTGGAAGCAACACCCTTCCAGATGCTCCCATTTCCATGAATAGCACTACCATCCATCCAAGGGCAAAAGTCAGAAACCCAGGAGGCTTTTGTGTGGTAGACTTAATTTGGTGTCCCCCAACTGACCACACCTAATATTCATGGCCTTGTATAGCCCTTTACAGTCAGGGCTGGCCTTTGATCTTCTTTAACCAACTGAATGTGGCAAAATTGACAGCATCCGTTTTTGCACTTGGGGGGAAGCCAGCCACCACGTAAGTCCAACTGTCCCAAGACCACTACACTAACCAAATGGAGAAGCCATGTAGAAGAGAACCAAGCAACCAAGCTGACAGCAAGAACTGAAGACCCAAATATAAAATCCAAGTTGAGCCATTTGTGCCACCCCAGCTGATGGACAGAGCAGAAGTGAGCTGCCCCACCAACTCCTGCTCAGACTGCACAGTGGTGAGCAAATGATAAAATGGTTGCTGTTTTAAGCCATGACATATTGGGGGTGTTTGCAGCAATACACAACCAAAACATCTTGGCGCCCTTTTCCCCATATCCCCTCTATCATTAAGTCCTATCAATTTTACCTCCAGAACATCCTAAACCTACTCTCAACTCCTTTGACACCATCTGATTCCCAAACTACCATCTACTCTCACTGCAGTAGCCTCCTAAGTATAAATAGTTTCTGTTTATCCACACAGGGCCTCCTCTGATCTAGGCACCTTGCTGCAATGAAAGAAATTTTTTCAAAGCATAAATTGGATCATGTCCCCCTCTTGCTTAAAATATTTCAGTAGCTTTCTTTTGGCCCCAGAATAAAAATCACCAAAGTCCTTAGCATGGTCTACCATGCTTAGCAAGGCTCTGCCAAGCCCCAGGCCTCTACCTGGCAGCCCAGGGCCCCTCTTGCCCTACGCATCATCTCTGCCATACTGGCCTTTTCATTACTACACTTTGCCAACCCCTTTTGCCCCAGGACTCTGTGTATGCTGCTCCCTCTTCCTAGTATCTTTTCCCACTCCTGCCCCTACCCGCTTTGCTAAGTGCCCCCCAGTTATCTTAATAGGCTTCAGCTCAAACGTTACCCTCACCAAAGCCTTCCCTTTCGCAGAAGCTTAGCCCTGACTGGGCTAAATATCCCCTTAAATTATTCTCATTCCTCTCCCTCTTAACACCTGTCATAGCTATAATGCTACTTATTTGAAGGGTGACACAATCTGAGATTTATTTGGGTGTTTATTTGATTATTGTCTGACTCTCCCCACTAGAATAAGTTCCAGTCTGGTTTTGTCTGAGATGAACATTGAAGGGAGTGATGTGTCATCTGTCATAAGGATTTGCTTTCAAAGTGCAGCCCAAATTCTTTGACACTGCTTCCATTGAAAGGTGGAGGTGTGTGTCCCCTCCCCTTGAATCTGGACTCTGTGACTCCTTGATTAGTAGAGAACAGCAGAGATGACACTATGCTAGTTGTCAGGCCCAGGCCTTAAGAAACTAGCATCTTCCATTTCCTCTCAGTGTGTTTAGAACAGCACTTTGGATGCTTTCTCTTTAACCCAATCACTGTGTTATAAGAAAGCCCAAGCAGCCCATGAAAAGGAACCAGAACTTTGGTCCTTAATCCTAGAAGAGTTTTTAGCTGATAGCACCAACTTGCAAGTTATATGAGTGAACCACCTTTGGAAGTGGAACTTCTAAGACCCAGTTGATCCATCCCAGCTGACACTGCATGAAGCAGAGATAAGGTTTCACCATTGAACTCTGCCCAAATCACAGATTCATGACCAAAATGATTTTTTATTTATTTATTTTTTTTTGAGACAGAGTCTTACTGTGTTGCCCCGGCTAGAGTGCCGTGGCGTCATCCTAGCTCACAGCAACCTTAAATTCCTGGGCTCAAGCAATCCTTCTGCCTCAGCCTCCCGAGTAGCTGGAACTACAGGCATGTGCCACCATGCCTGGCTAATTTTTTCTATATATTTTTAGCTGTCCAATTAATTTCTTTCTATTTTTGGTAGAGACAGGGTCTCGCTCTTGCTCAGAGCTGGCTTCGAACTCCTGAGCTCAAACAATCCGCCCGCCTTGGCCTCCCAGAGAGCTAGGATTACAGGCGTGAGCCACCGTGCCTGGCCTCAAAATGATTTTTTAAATCAGGATCACAAAGCTGTTTGTGATGTAATGTCATCCTGAACCTCATTGAAACCTGGTTGGCCTGGAGCCCAAAGTGCTTGTTGACACATAGAGTAGGAGTCTGTAGTGGTCCCCAGCCAGGGTGACCATCCCTCATGTCCATGCTAGTATATAGGTGCAGACCTGGATCCAGGGTTCTCTCTTGCTCCTAACCTCCCATCCCCAGGGAACTGGCTGCTGGAGCCTACTGCCCTCCAGGGTTTTGCCCCAAACACTTTGAGGGCAGTCTGTTCTAGCTGATGGAGGTGAGCGTTAAATAGCAAGGGACATCAGCAGCACCTCATAAAAGACCCTAGGGAGGGAACCCAGTTCATGGGGAAGGCTCAGGGATCACTGCCCTAGAGGAACGTACAACTTTGTCCAGGGTGATTCAGGCGAACATTCTCATTTGGCAGACAATGTTCTGAGAGGGCTCTGTGCCCAGGTACACAACCTAAACAGCACCCTCTAGGCCTAAAGTCCCCAAGCCCTGGTCCATTCCCAGGCTGCAGACTAGTCCCAGTCCGTGGCCTGTTAGGAAGCAAGCCACATAGCAGGAGGTGAGTGGTGTGTGAGCTAGTGAAGCTTCATCTGTATTTACAGTCGCTCCCCATCACTCACATCACTGCATAAGCTCTGCTTCCTGTCAGATTGGTGGTGGGGGTGGGGGGGAGATTAGATTCTCACAGGAGCGTGAACCCTACTGTAAACTGCACATGTGAGGGATCTAGGTTGTGTGCTCCTTATGAGAATCTGATGCCTGATGATCTGAGGTGGAGCTGAGGCGGTGATGCTAGCGCTGGGGAGTGGCTACAAATACAGATCATCATTAGCAGAAAGGTTTGACTGCACAATAAATGTAATGTGCTTCAATCATCCCCAGACCATTCTCCCAGCCCCCCACCCCTCATTGGGTAAAAAAATTGTCCTCCATGAAACTGGTCCCTGGTGCCAAAAAGGTTGGGGAGCACTGCTCTAGGCCCATGCTATTCAATACTATAGCCACTAGCCACATATGGCAATTAGATTTAAATTTTAACTAAAATTTAAAAAGCAAGTCTTCAGTCACATGAGCTGTATTTCAAGTGCTGTCTTACTGAACAGTGCAGATGTAGAACATTTTCATCGCTGCAAGTTCTATTTAATTATACTGCTCTAGGCCCTTTAAGAGAGGTCAACAGAGATGGCCTTGCCTACCACTGAAAACCACTAAAAAAAAAAAAAGAAAGAAAGAAAGAAAAGAGATCCACCAAGAACATAAGAACAAATGAAAGAAACAAGACAAAACAAGGGCTACCACTTAGAGACCCACAGGGACAGCCGAGTTTGTCAGCCCACAACATCTAGCCCCAGATGAAGCCCCTAGGGAGCTTTAGGAGCAGCCTGAGTGGCTTACCTGAACTTTTCAGCTTCCCTTCCAAGTCACTGGTAACATCTTTTCCTTGTTATAATAATACAGTCATTTGCTGCTTGGGGGTATCAAATTCCATAAGCTTATTATCCCTTATGCTCAACAAAAATGCAGCACAGCATCATGGTTAAGGCCATGGGCTCGGGAATCAAACTGCGTATGTCAGAACCCCATTCTACAATTTACTAGCTTGAGTGACCTTGGGCAAGCTATTCATTCTCATAGAGCCTGCCTAAAATGGGGATGATACAAGCTACTTCATAGGGTTTTTATGAGCATCACATGAAACAATATATAGCATAGCGGTGCCACAAAATAGTGAACATTCAACGTATATTTGCTCTGTCGAGCCTAATCTTATTCGGGTTGCAAAAAAAGGCTTCGATGGGGATTTGGTGAATGTGTTCAAACACCTTATCCTTCCCTGCCTCCACTTTAGAACTCTCCTCCTTTAAGCCGCTCTTCAGCCCTCCTAATCCGTCCAGGCTCTTCGGGGCCTTCCTTGATGTGGTTGCACGTGGCTCTAGTGTAGCTGCCCAGAGCCCAGGCTGCCCTCCACCTATTTGGGGCAAAATCCTGCTTCAGAATATGAGGACTTTTATCTTGGGTGAAGCCATTCTCGTCTTCTTTTTCTATCTTCATTGCTTAGGCTTAGGCCCCCTAAGTACTAAGTGAGGCTGGAGTTTCATACTCTGGGGGAAATTTGGAGATTTGGGCAGGAGAAAGAGGCGTGAGAAGCTAAAGACGCTGGGGTTGTCTACGCTCGCTCATGCTTCATGGTCTTGCGGTTTTACAGGCCCTGAGAGAAAGCTGAGGGCTGGTCTGAGTGTCGCCTGCTCACACACACTTAAAGGCAGTATAACCCGGACCCTGCCTGCTCCTTAGGACAGAGAAAAAACAAACACAGAGAAACAGAAGATAAAATAGATGTGCAAATTTACTATAAACTTAAACTCCTAAGCCTTGTTAGAGGTTCCCTGGCCGCAGACGGCTCCTTTAAGAGGCGGGCCCCATCCCGGCTAACAGAGGAAGTCCCCGCCCCGGTTGCCAGGGTGCTCTGTGGCGTCGCATTTTCATTGGTGGGCGACGGTGGGGGGGGCACCAAGAGGCGGCCATTTCCAACGAGCTGGAGGGGGTGAAAGATGGCGACGCCCCTCGGGTGGTCGCAGGGGGGGTCAGGATCTGTGTGTCTCGCCTTCGATCAACTGCGGGACGTGATTGAATCGCAGGAGGAACTGATCCACCAGCTGAGGAATGTGGTATGCAGGCAGAAGAGCTCGGAGAGAGGCGGGCTGGACGCCTCACTGGAGGGGGTGGGGCCAGACCCTGTTCCGAGGCAGGGGGCGTGGCTAGAACGCTTTGCCAGTGGCGTCATCAGCAGGCGGCAGGGCTCAGCTGGGTCCTGGCCGGTAGGGGGTGGAGCCAAAAGGGGGCGGGGCCTTCCTGAATATTTACCAGGGAATTTTAACCAAAATCAAGCAACATTCTCCACTCTGGTTGGTTGGTTGCTGCAGGGCCTGGCAGATATTTACTGAGCCTCAGTTTCCTCGTTTTCAGTGGAGATGACTTGCGTTCCCAAGGCCCTCATGTGCAGAGAATATGGATACCCTTCCGCAGAGCCAAATGCAGTAGCACACTGAGTGCAGGACGTGCACATCTGGCCCTTGCCCACGTTGCTTTAAGGGCCTCCAACCCCTTTACGTCCCTTTGCTTTTGTCTTCTTAATCAGATCCCAGCTAATGGGTGCAAAGCATTTGAGTCACAGATTAGCTGGACAGGCATGATAGAATCCTGGCCAGCTGGAGTTCATGGTTTTTCTGTTTTGGCTTTTCTGTTAATATCTTGATAGGAAGGTTGAGATGTATCTCCAGCTCAGAAATAAAACTGCCTTCACATCTATTTCTCACTCTAATGGTTCTTAGACAAATTCTTCCCTTCTGGGAAGTTGGATGTGAGGGGAAGGAGAGAGAGACATGTTCTATTTGCTACCCTAATGCTGTCATTCAACAAAACGTATGCAGTGCTAGGCACTGAATTACCTTTGATTCCCTGAAGGTATCCGGATCTTTCTCTTGGCAGGTGGACTTGGCTTTTGGGATGCTTTCTCTCTACCCTTCTTCTTCTGGCCTACCAGTCAGGTCCCAGGTCTAACATCCCCTTCTCCAGAAGCAATTCTGACCCTTCCCCAGGCTGGTTCAGGACCACCTCTGGGCGCCACAGCCCCTGTGCTTCCCCATCACAGCACACACCGTGTTAGAAGTGTGACGGTGGGCTGTCTCCTCTATAACACTGGTTGCTCCTTGAGGGCAGCACTTAGAACTGAGTCTCAGTTTACCCCTGGAACTGAATTCTCTCTTCCCAGTGCCTCAGTCTCATCCTAGGTGTCCTGGGCTTCATCCTGTTATCCATTCTTGATCCTGGTCCCTGGCAGGCACCCCTTCCACCTCAACCCCAGGCCCTCCCTGAGCCAGGCTCTGTTGCAGATGGTTCTCCAAGATGAAAATTTTGTCAGTAAAGAAGAGTTCCACGCAGTGGAGAAGAAGCTGGTGGTAAGTAATGGCCTCTGTAGGTTTCTAATCTTCCCTCATTTTCCAAGATCCCTGTGGTTTGGCAGAGTCATTGAGTATTGGAGTCTGAAAGCCTCCAGCCCTAGTAGTGAGGCCAGAATCTTCCTGTACTCTGGCTTCTGTGTGCCCCTCTGAGAAAGGGGGTTGGTTAAGGGAGCATAGGAGACCCAAGGTGGCTTGGGGTAATGAAGTGACTGCTGCTGCCCCTGTAGGAAGAAAGAGCTGCCCATGCCAAGACCAAGGCCCTCCTGGCCAAGGAAGAGGAGAAATTACAATTTGCCCTCGGAGAGGTAGAGGTGCTGTCTAAGCAGCTGGAGAAAGAGAAGCTGGCCTTTGAAAAAGCGTGAGTGGGCCTCAGTAGAAGGTGTGGAGGTCAGGGGTCCTGTCTGCCTGCCACACTGCCCATCCTCGCATTTTATCTTCCCCACCCAGGCTCTCCAGCATCAAGAGCAAAGTCCTGCAGGAGTCTGGCAAGAAGGACCAGCTCATCACCAAGTGCAATGGTAGGCGGGAGGCCCACGCTCCCCACCACGCTTATATACGTGGGTTCTTTCCTAACAACCCAGTGCCTGTGTCAAGGGCAGGGTTTCACCCCAACTTCTGTCCCTGGATGAGGATACAGGCAGGCCCATGCGGGCCACACCTTCGAAGAGGCCTTCAGGGACCAGGCAGGCCACGGAAATGAGGAAAGTCGGTGTACAATATTCTTCACGGCCATAAAGGAACGGGCTCGCTCCCATTTTTCGTGAAACATATGACCTTCTTAGTCCACCTTTTGTCTTCCCACTTTTGATGGGTATTAGAAATAGTGCACCTTACTGATAACTCTGTTACAAGAGGAACAGCGGCACAAGCACAGTCCTATTTGGGAGCTGACCTTAGTCTCAGGGCTGGGGACTCCATAGGGAGGAGTGGGGACTGTGGTGACATGGAAAGCCATGCCCTCCTCAGAGGTATAGCCCTTCCCTTGTGCGAATGGGGCTCCAGGATTGCCAGATCTTTAAAAAAGAAACTGGAAACCAAGTTTTAATGGAAGCTTTTCTGACTTTTTAGTGCTGGCACCTGAATTCGAAATTTTACAAGTATTGTATGGACCAAGTAAAATATGTCTGTGGGCCACCAGTTTTCAGCTCTTCTCTATGCAGATCCCTGTGGCCCACATGTTGGCTCAGTTGGTGCCATGAGTTGTGGGGCACTTTCAGAATCAGCTACTTAGTGAACCCTTTTCATTTTCCTGGGATGCTAAACTCTCCTCACCTAGTTTAAGGAGTAGATATGAATTCCCTGTGCAGCATCTGCTTCATTCACCACAGCAGATCTCGAGTAGGCCAGAGCCCAAGCCCCAAAGAGGTTCTAGGTCCCTCCTGGTACGGCTCCGACCTGGAGCCTTGGGCACCTTCCACCCACCCGTCCAGCATTCTCTCTCCCCTGGTGAGTTCTCTCTCTGGGAGGATGCCAGCAGGCCAACAGGCCTCATAGTTGTTTGATCACTGGCTCCCGCCAGGGCCTGCTAGGGCCCAACAGGTGGTCACGGCCTCCACACTCATGGCTGCTGCTCCCCTAGTCCTTTCCCTCTCCTTGGACCTTCCCTCAATTCCCTAAAGGGAACCTGGGGTTCCTTCCTGGTGGAAACAGAGGCATCCTTCCTACATAGATCAGCCAAGGCCGAGGGCTTTGTATCTGCTTGTAGAAGGTGCGTGTGTCATGGGGACGGGGCCTGGCTGCCTCCTCCCAGAATGTCCTAAAGCCCGCTTATGGGGCACAAGCCCTCACCTCAGCCAGGCTGGGAATCTGAACCTTAACCTGGCCCATGTCCCCAACCCCAACCCCACTCCTACAACCTCCTCTTTTGTGGTTTTGGTTTGGGTTCTTTGGTTTTTTTTTTTTTTTGAGTCAGGGTCTTGTTCTGTCGCCTGCCCCAGCTAGAGTGCAGTGGTGTCACCATAGCTCACTGCAACCTTGAACTCCCAGGCTCAAGTGATCCTTCTGCCTCAGCCTCCCAAGTAGCTGGGACTACAGGTGCGTGCTACCACACCTGGCTAGTTTTTCCATTTTTAGTAGAGATGAGGTCTCACTCTTGCTCAGGCTGGTCTTGAACTCCTAACCTCAAGTGGTCCTCCTTTCTCAGCCTCCCAAAGTGCTAGGATTATAGGCATGAGCCACTGTACCAGCTTTGGTTTGGTTTGTACCGTTACATAGTTGTTTATTTTTCTCAAAGAGATTTTTCTTTTTTTAATTTTAATTTTAAATGTTTTAATTAATTAATTTCATTTGTTTTTTGTTGGTTTTTTCAAGACAGGGTCTTTTTGTTTTGCCCAGGCTAGAGTGCAGTGGCATCATCATAACTCACTGCAACCTGGAACTCCCAGGCTCAAGCGATCCTCCTGCCTCAGCCTCCCAAGTAGCTGGGACTATAGGTGCACGCCACCATACCCAGCTAATTTTTTAATTTTTTGTAGAGACGGGGTCTCGCTCAGGCTGGACTCCAACTCCTGGCCTCAAGCAATCCTCGGATTATAGGTGTGAGCCACCTCGCCTGGACTCAAAGGGATTTTTTTTTTTTTTTTTTGAGACAGAGTCTGACTCTTTTGTCCAGGCTAGAGTGCAGTGGCGTCAGCCTAGCTCACAGCCTAGCTCACAGCTCAAACTCCTGGGCTAAAGCGATCCTCCTGCCTCAGCCTTCCGAGTAGCTGGGACTACAGGCATGCGCCACCATGCCCAGCTAATTTTTTGTGTATATTTTTAGTTGTTTGGCCAATTTCTTTCTATTTTTAGTAGAGACGGGGTCTCGCTCTTGCTCAAGCTGGTCTCGAACTCCTGAGCTCAAGCAGTCCTCCCGCTTTGGCCTCCCAGAGTGCTAGGATTACAGGCGTGAGCCACCGTGCCCGGCCTCAAAGGGATTTTTTTAAACTATTCTCTCATTGGGTGCCACAGGCTTTTATCTTAAAAGAGTCACACAAATTTCTAATTCTTTCTCCCAAAAGACCTTAACAACCAATTAATCTGGATTAGCCAGACAACCCTGGGAAGGAGGCTCCGCAGTCGTGGCCCCATGACCCAGCGAACTCATGTTTTCATTCTCTCCCCTTCACTTGTGTCACTTTCGTCTTTTCCGTGGTGTGCCTTAACTTTTCACTAAATCTTCTCTTTTGAAATCTTAAATGCTTCATCATTTCTATATTCTCAGAGTTTGTGTTCTAATTAATTAATCCTTGTCCAACCTTTAAGGGCAGTGGGATTTCTGTATGAGTCAAAATTTTCCAGGGCTCCATGAAGGATCGTTATATAATTGAAGCACCCCCAGATCCCTACAGGATTTTGGTCCAAGACACAAAAATCATCTTTGCGTTCAATGTGCACTGACTTTGGGGGTAGGCTTTGCCACCACTTTGTCACAGGGTGCTCCCCGCCCCACTGTGGGATAGGGGCTGTCTCTGTCCCTACCTCGTAGATGAGGAAACAGATCTGAAAAAGGAGGCAACTCCCAAAGTACTAATACTGTCTTACCAATATTAACATTTTTGAAATGTAGCTTTTTCTGTTCTCTGACCAGTTCCTAAGTCTTTTTTTTTTTTTTTTTGAGACGGGGTCTCGCTATATCACCCAGGATGGTCTCAAACTCCTGGCCTCAAGTGATCCTCCCACCTCAGCCTCCCCAGTAGCTGGGATCATGGCTCAAGCTGCGACGCCAGGCCAGTTCCTGAGTCTTAGCTCTCCTTTCAGGAGCTGCCTGTTTAAGGGCGGGGACGGCATCTTCTCCCACCACTCCTGAAGCCCTAGCACGGGGCTGAGCATCCAGCCGGCCCTCTGCAGGTCTGGTTGGACTGACCTGACAAAACTCAGTGATGTTTCTAAGTCCTGAACTCCCAGGGACATCCCATTCGTTCATTCCACACATACATTTATTGTGCACTTACTATGTGCCAGGCACTGTTTTAGGCCTTAGGGATAACGCAGTGACTAAAACAAAAATCCTTGTCCTTGCGGACCTTACATTCCAGTAGGGGAGAAGACAAATGAGTGAAATATATGGTGTGTTAGATATAAGTGCTAAGAAGAACAATAAAGCAGGGAGGGGTATAGGAAATATGGGGAAATGTTATAATTTTTAGACTAGGGAGGATCTCGCCAAGGAGGTGACATCTGTAAAGACCTAGAGGAGTTGAGGACAGGAGCCGTCATCCTCCTGCCTTTGGGCAGGGCTGTTCACCTCTCTCCAAGGACTTTCGCCCGACCTCACAGTGGGTCTGCTGGTCCAGAATAGAGTTGAGAGGTCACTGACACAACAATCAAACATCGCCCCGCCCCGCCTATGACTGCGTAGTACACTCATTCATACAAAGGTATTAGCAACTAGTCACCCCCCGGGTGGGGGGATGCCAAGTTCTGAAAAGTCCCGAGGGAATGCCTCGTCTCAGGAAGGAGCCTGTGGGATGGGAACCACCCCCCTCCTGCCTCTCTCCCCCACAGAAATTGAGTCTCACATTATAAAGCAAGAAGATATACTTAATGGCAAAGACAATGAGATTAAGGAGTTGCAGCAAGTTATCAGCCAGCAGAAACAGATCTTCAGGTGAGGGCTCTGGGCCAGGCTGGGGGTTGTTGGTGAAAGTGGGGAGCCGGACCTCTGGCCCCCACCCTGGCCTGTCCACAGCCCACCCAGCGGGCTCCGTTGCAGGAATCATATGTCTGACTGCTGGATCCAGAAGCAGCAGGAGAACTACATGGCCCAGGTGCTGGACCAGAAGCATAAGAAAGCCTCGGGCACGCATCAGGCTCGCAGCCGCCGGCGTCTCAGGGAAAAATAAAATGGCTGTCACCTTACTGTTCTCTAGCTATAATGCCCAAACTCTGCCTTCTCTGCTTGGGGGAGTCTCCAACCCTGCCCTTCCCATCTCTGTGGGTCCCCTTGCCACAGACCCGACCTCCAGGGAGACAGCAGGCACTTCTTCCTGCCCGCCGGCCCGCCCACCTCCTAGGCCTTGGTGACCCGAGAGAGAATCAAGTCACCTGGGTGGAAGACAAGTCTTGCACCACCACCTGCTAGGCCACTTCTGGGGTCAGAAGGGGATGCTACTCAAGCCTGCAGCCCCTGTCACTTCCCCACTTCCTTTGGGTCCATGGGAGTGGGGGTTTGTTGTCTAGTAGGCGCCGCTCCTTACTTTTGGTATGTAATCCCTTCCGATATAAACAGCCATGGTTATCCCAGTAACATCCCACCCCACTCCAGTGCCCTTGTAACTTTAACTCTCAAGTTGGCTATAAGGAAGGAAGGGGTGTGTGTGTATGTGTGAGAGAGAGAGGCCCTGACCAGAAAGTTCCAGGACCCCAATGAATATGGGAAATCAGCTTTTATCACACAGCAAGAATGTCATAGCCGTGAATCACATTTGCACCTTCTTACACCTCCCCAAACAGAAGGTCATCTGTCTTCACAAATGGGAGGAAGGGAAAAAGCCGACACTGTCTCTTTTTAAGGTAGGGAAAGGGTCTGGTAAGGGACCACAACTTGCTCAAGTTGCGCTGGCAGGGCTGGATGTGATGGACAGGCTAGATTCTTTCAGAAGCCATCACTGAGTGTGCCCTAGGTGATCATGGGGACACATCCAGGAGGCAGGGGACCCACTTCAGGGAGGGAAGAGTAGGATTTGCCAAGTCTAGCCTCTCCTGGGTAGCGTGAGGCTGAGTGCACGGGATGGGCCAGTGTGCTTGCTCCGGGGCCAGCTGGAGCCTGAGTCACAGCAGGACCTTGAAGCCAGAAGTTTAAGGGCAAGTGGTGCCCGTTGTCCTCAGACAATGACAGGTGGTGGCTGCTCCTCCACCAGCACCTGTCCCCAGGGCAGGTCTTAAGGTTCTGGGGGCTGGAATGAGGGCCTTGCGGGTGCCTGGGGGAGCACAGAGCTGTTCTTGCCTCAGGGGGCTTAGAGAGGGTGCCACAAGCGGCCTCAAAGGTGCCAGGGCTTGTCCTGGGTGCTAAGGCGGCTTGTCAAGGCCCACTCCGGCCCCTTGCAATAAATCCCCCTAAGGGCAATGGGTCCAGCCAGGGATAGCACCTTCTTGAGACCCCAGCACAACTTCCGGAGTCGGGGGAAGTCTTCGAGCCTGCTTTCCCCTCACCTGCCTGTTGGCTCGGCTCGCGGGGTTGAGAGGGCAGGGCCCAGGGCCGGGTCTCTCCTGCTGCCACGCCGCTGGCTCAGGAGTGGATGCGGCCGCTTTAAGGCGCGGTGATCCCACGGCATCCTCGGGCGGGGCGGGGACAGTGCAGGCGCCACCAGCGGAGGCGAATGCGAGGGAGGTAGTGCGCGGTGTCGGGCCCCACCATGCTGACCGCGCTCACCCCGCCAGCCGTGCCTGGGATCCCGAGGCAGCTGCCCACGGCCCCCACGCGGCGCCAGGACTCCTCCGGTTCGTCAGGCTCCTACCACACGGCTCCGGGTTCTCCAGAGCCCCCGGACGTTGGGCCGGACGCGGAAGGGCAAGCGAACTGGCCCTGGGTGGCCCCTGGGCGGGGGGCGGGCGCACAGCCTCGCCTGTCCGTCAGCGCCCAGAATAGCCGCCAGCAGCACTGGCCCGGCTCGGGTTTCCCGCGAGGCCCGGGCTCCGGCCCGCGGCCACCCCAGCCCCAGCTGCGCACGCTGCCGTCGGGGGAGATGGAAGTCATCTTCGGCGTCGGGCCCCTGCTGAGCCGCTCCGGCGCGGAGGATCGCGAGGTGCAGCAGCTCACGGAGCCGGCTTTCGGCAGCCCCTTACCGCCAGGCCCGGCGTCTCCCGCCGCTGGCCCACTGCAGCCCCAGGCCCCCGACGGTGGCTCTCGCTGGGCCACATACCTGGAGCTGCGACCCAGCGGGCCGAGTCCTGCCTCCCCAACGCAGTTCGAGTGTGTGGAAGTGGCGCTGGAGGAACGCACCGCGCCCGCCAAGCCCCGGACGGTGCCCAAGCGTCAGATCGAGCTGCGCCCCCGGCCCCAGAGTCCCCCGCGGGTGGCTGTCGCGCCGCGCCCCCGACTGCTCCTGCGCACCGGCTCCCTTGACGAGTCACTGAGTCGCCTGCAGGCCGCGGCGGGCTTCGTGCAGACAGCGCTGGCCAAAAAACTGAGCCCCGAGGCCCCAGCCCCTAGCAGCGCCGCCTTTGAGCCCACAGGACGGTCGGAACCTGCGACCCGGGAAACGGCCCGCAGCACTCGTGTGGTCTTGGAGAAGGCTAAGTCTCGGCCGCTTCGTGTACAAGATAGTTCTGCCCCAGCAAAAGCCCCACGGCCGTGGCCCAGCCTCCGAGAGCGCGCTATCCGGCGCGACAAGCCCGCGCCCGGGACCCAGCCGCTGGGTCCTGTAAGTTCCAGCATCTTCCTACAGACAGAGGAGAAGATCCAGGAGGCGCGCAAGACTCGGTTCCCGCGAGAGACTCCGGGTCGAACAGTCCCGAGGGCACGGAGTCCGCCTTTCGAGTCTATAGTCCCCTGGGAGGTTCCAAGCAGGACTGTGAAGCCAAGAAGCCCGTCCCCGCCGTCGCAGACTCCCAATGGAGCTGTGCCAGGGCCTCACTGCCCATCCCCCCAGAACCTGTCCCCGTGGGATCGGACCATTCGGAGGAGGGTGAGTAGCCCGTCGTTCCCAGAAGCATCCTCCGCGTGGGAAAATCAGAATCCCGCCGTCGAAGAAACTGTTAGCAGGAGAAGCCCTTCGCCTCCGACCCTTTCCCAGTGGAACCTGGGTGTTGCTAGAGCAGAAAACCCCTCCCCCAAAGCTCCTTCACAGTGGGTGATTCCACATCCTGCAGTTGGGGATGAGGAAGAGCTGGATAGGAGCCCGTCCCTGCCGACCTTGTTCCCGTGGGAAGCTCAGGATCGTCCTACTGGGACTCGGAGCCCATCGCCCCAAGAGACGTGGGATCCCGTGGTGCCGGGCTCCTCCGTAGTATTTACGCGGGAAGCTCAAAATGGCGAAGCTCAGGAATTGGTGCCATCTACACCATCAGCACCCGGGACTCCAGAACCAACGGAGGTGCAGACGCCATGCACACAGGAGATTCCAGATCTTGCCTTCCGAGGCAGTCAGCCGTCGCCAGAGACCACTGCACCGGAGCCGCCCTGCAGTCACCTCGTGGGCACGTTGGACGCCGATGCTCCTCCAGAAGCCTTGGGCCATGGAGAAGCGGCCTCGGGACGCCAGCGTGTGGCCATTCCGCGGCCCAGAGACGTGCGCAAGATGGTGAAGACCACGTACGCGCCCAGCTTCCCGGCGGGAACCGCCGGCTCAGGGCTGCCTGCGCCTCCTGCTGACCCCTGCGGGGAGGAGGACTGCGCATCCAAGACACAGGAGCTTCAGGCGCTGGGGCCCCCCGCTCCGGCTCACTACACTTCCATTTTTCTTAAGGACTTTCTGCCGGTCGTGCCGCACCCCTACGAGCCTCCAGAGCCACTCCTCGACACAGTCCCGCGGGACGCCTCGAAGCCCAACGGGGTCGTACGGCGGAGAGCAGAGAACAGCACGGCAAAACCCTTCGCGCGCACAGAGATCCGCCTGCCTGGTGCCCTGGCCTTGGGCCGCCGGCCCGAGGTAACCCCGGGGGTCCGAGTGCGCGGTCCTGGCGGAGAGAACCGGGGTGCAGAGCCGCATCGCCTCGTCCCCGATGGCGAGGGTCGGACCAGCCCTCTAGGCGGCGCTCGCAACTCATCCCAACGGTCCCCCATAGAGCCAGCCGGGGCCCGACCACCCCGCCCCAGCTCCCCACAGGCACACCCCAACTCGAGCCCTGAGGTGGTACCCAAACTGGAGACACCCCCGGAGGCCCCCGAGCCCACGGCTGCCGTCCAGACGCCCCTGCCGCAGGAGCCCCCGGCGTCGGCCGGCAGGATAGCCCCTGCCCAGCCTCGCGCTGCCTCGGCGCCTCCCACGGACCGGTCCCCGCAAGGCCCCTCCCAGGGGGTGCGCAGGCTGCCCGGGGCCGCGCACCCGGGGAAGGTCCTGGTGGACCCGGAGAGCGGCCGCTACTACTTTGTGGAGGTGCCGCGGCAGCCTCGGCTGCGGCTGCTCTTCGACCCCGAGAGCGGGCAGTACGTGGAGGTGCTGCTGCCGCCCGCGTCCCCCGGGCCACCCCGTCGCGTCTACACCCCATTGGCCCTGGGTCCCGGCCTCTACCCGCCCGCCTATGCGCCTATCCAAGGCCTCTCACTGCCACCGTCCCCGGGCCCGCCGGCTCTCGGCAGCCCCCAGCTACCCTGGGCCTCTGAGGCGGGCGCCCTGGACGGGATGTACTACCTGCCGGTGAGCGGGACCCCCAGCCCCACACCTCCTCTGCTCCTCTGTGCCCCGCCCTGCAGCTCGGGTACCACCCAGCCTGGCAAGGGCTCCTTGTTCCCGTTGTGAGGCCCCGGGGCCTGATCTCCGTGGAGTTGGGGCTCTCGGATGGCCTTGGAGGTTCTGGCATCTAGTCCCTTTCCCTCCTTTCCTTCCGTCACCTCTTTCTTTGGCCTATCCCAGCCAGTTGTCAGACGAGAAGTGACCTTCAGAGAAAGTATCTGAGACCCGGGGCTGATGGAGCTGGAGCTTAGGACGTGGCTGCCTCCTTCCTCCCTCAACAAAATTGTGTATCCCTTTCCCAAGCATTCCCAGGGTGTGGTGTGTGTTTACGTGTGTTTGTGTGTATGCAGGTGAGCAAATACGGAAAAGCGTGGAGTCCCAGGGCTTATCCCCAGGAGCCAATCCAAGGAGGTGTTGGGGTTCCCTAGGGGGCAGCAGGAATGGGAGCAGCAGGGGACAGGGCTGCCCCCAGAGGTGGTGAACTATCTGTCCCTCCCTGAAGGTGGGCCCAGCTGAGGTGGAGCTAGCCGTGGGGCACAGGTGAGATGGGAGGGAAGGACTCTGGCTATGCAGTCTGCTCTTTGGGAGAGGAGCTGAGCTTTGGCCTGGGAGGCTGCGAGGGGGAACGTGGCTGGTGCAGTCGCAGCCAGGCTGGGGCTGAGAGAGGGAGCTGGGGGTACAGCAAGTGCAGGTGGAGCGAGGAAGTAACGCAGGGAGGGGCTGCGGAGACAGCCTGGCATTTGGGGTGGGAAGACTGGGGGTAAGCTGGGCCCAGGTGCTGTGGTCTCCAGCTGGGAGCCTGGCTCCCCAAGCCTCCCCTCAGCCCCAGTCTCTGGCATGGCTTCTGCTCTGAGCCCCAGAGCTGAGCCTGCTCATCCTGGGGTGGAGGCAAGGCTCCAGCCACGCCCACCCAGGTAGGCGGCTGGTGAAATGAGTCATCGGGAAGGACTCACAAGAGCTGTTGTCCGGGGGGGCCTTGACCCCTTGGGTGGGTGGATGGTGGGTTAGGGCTGGCAGTAGAAGGGATCTCCTTGTGTGGGGCAGGTCAGAGGGACCAGAAGCTCCCAGCTGGTCCCACTCCCCCTGGTCACAGCACAGGAAGGGACAGGACCCAGAGTCCGTGCTTCAGTTGCCCTGAGATTCCAGGAGCCCCTGAGGAAGGCTGAGGGAGATGAGGGATCTGCATGAGGTGGGAGGTGGTCTGCGTGGGGTCTGTGTGTCGTTCTGAGCCTGAAATGGCTGGGCCTTGCTGGACCGGTGTGTGGCGTGATGAGTTTAGGGAAGGGCAGTTCCTGTTAGCAGCAGTGTCCGGAATGGGGATCGATGCTGTCCTTGTTCCAGGGCTGTGCGGGGCCCGGTCCCTCAGAGTCCCTGCCACCCTGCTCTGGACTGCAGGCTGACTAGAACTATGAGACAGAATAACCTGGATATTTCTTGGCTGAAGACGCTGGTTCCAATGACATGGAGATTCCTGGAGTCACCCCAGATGCCTCACCTCATCCTGGTGTGCAATAAATAAATTGCTGACCCATGAGCCATGGTGGGTAAAATAACTGGTGTGAGTGCCTGATTTCCTGCCCTTCCAGGTCTGGGTAGGCCTGGGTAGAGGGGACCTTAGGGCCAGCGAGGGAGACCATGTGTGTCTTTCACATTCTGTGGGGTCCCCACCTCAGTGAGTTGCCTCCCAAGAGGGAGCCCGAGGCTAGCAAGCATACCTGTGGCCTTATTCATCCAGGTAGTGGAGTGGCCAGGGGGCTTTAGGGCCAATCGGGCTTGGGTTCCACTCTCAGCATGGCCCCTCCAGCTGTGTGGCCTTGGGTTTGTCACTTCCCTCTGAGCCTTTGTGTTTCCAGGGACAGAATAAAGGTGACAGTAACCACTTCCTCCCACACGGTGCTCAGCACAGTGCCCACCACTTGGCAGATCACAGGATGCAGGAGGCATCAGCCCCCATGTGTCCTTGCCTAGGCCTGGCCCCTCTCCTCGCCTCTTTGCTCCCCATCTGTGAAATGGAGCTGAGTTGGCAGGAGCTGGGTCCTGCGAGAGGAAGTGCACACGTGGCATCTCCAGGGCGCTGGGGGAAGAGAGAGAATGGGAGGGGTGATCTCCCCATTGGTCTAGGCCAAGTGTTCTGGGGAAGTCCCTACTGCGCACATGCACATGCACACCTGCACCCCAGCCGTGGCCCACACTCGCTGAGCTGGCTCCAGAGGCCATGAGGCTGTCACTGCCATTGCTGCTGCTGCTGCTGGGAGCCTGGACTATCCCAGGAAGCCTCGGGGACAGGGACCTGCTCACAGCCACTGCCCCAGAGCTGGACGATGAGGAGAAGTACTCAGCTCACATGCCTGCTCACCTGCGCTGTGACGCCTGCAGGGCTGTGGCTTTCCAGGTGAGTCCTCCCGTACCTTTCCCCTACCCTACCTAGACCTCATCTCAAGCCAGACCCCTCACCTACCTCAGATTCCGCCTTTGGCCTTTGATCTCCAATCCCCCAGCGCTGGGCATCAAGCCCCAGACTCAGCCTTCCATGACACTGCCATCCCCACCTCACCCGAACCTCCATCTGCCTGCCTGACAGAGCGGACAGCCCGGGACAGACCCACAGTATCTTGAGACCGCAGGACATCACCTGCTTGTCCTTTGAGACTCCTCAGGCCCATCCTCAGGTCTGGACTCCCTCCCCAAATCTGACTTGGGTGCCTTCGCATATGTGTACATGCTGCACACGTGCACGTGTTGAGTGCCTGCATGTGTGAGTATGCGTGTGAGTTCACGTGCACCTGCTGAGCGTGTCTGTGTGCCGGTATTTCTGTGTGTGCAGGGCCTATGAGTACTCATGCCATTGAAGATTAGGATCTTTTTTTTTTTTCTTTCCTTCGTATGCTTTAAAATAGCACATGCTACTTGGCAGGTGCACCCTGGAGTAGGGGCCCCGGCGCTCAGGCCCAACCTTCCACCTCAGCACTTCTGCCCCCACCCCCCAGCCCAAGGAAGTGGCTCCTGCCACTTTTTAGCTCTTGGGTCTCGGGACGAGCTGTGCTGCCTGCCTCACAGGTGCTTCCTGCCACCTCATTCTCCCCAGAGGCTCCTGCCCTTCCCCTCTGAGCAGCGGTCCTGAGACCCAGGCTCCCAGCCCCTCCTTGTTGCAGATGGGGCAGTATCTGGCAAAGGCAGAGGCCAAGCTTCATACCCCAGACTCTGAGGGGCGGCGGGAGCTGAGTGAGTCGGTCTACACAGACGTCTTGGACTTGAGCTGCTCCCAGAAGTGGCAGGAGTGAGTTGCCAATCCCTACCTCCCTCCTCCCTGGGCAGGGCTGGCGGGTGGAGATGCCACTCGCCCACTCGCACCACGCATTCCACCGGGGCTGGCTGGGACGAAGTCTGGGCTCGAGCTGGGAGCAAGTGGGAGAGCAGAGGCCCAGCAGACAAGGTCACTGTGTGACCTTGGGCCAGGGGATTTCCCTCTCTGAACTCAGCAAATGCCCAGTGTGCCCAGCTTGGTGTGGAGACAGGTCTCTCCTCGCTGAGCTCCCACCAATGCCAAACCCCTCTTCTCCTCACTGCCGCCAGCTACGGGGTCCGAGAGGTGAACAAGGTGAAACATCTCGTGGGCCCAGGGCTTAGCAAGGGGCCAGAGCCAAGCATCAGCGTGATGGTCACAGGGGGCCCCTGGCCCGTCAGGTGATGGTGGGGGCGGAGTGGGGGTTGGGATGGAGCCCGGGTTTGCCCCTCTGTGTGCTGGGCAGGGTCTGAGGCTCCTGCTGCGCTCCCCTAGGCTCTCCACGACATGTTTGCACTACTTGGGGGAGTTTGGAGAAGACCGTATCTATGCAGCCCACCAACAAGGCCCAGAGGCTCTGGAGGCATTGCTGTGTGGGGGCCCTCGGGGGGCCTGCTCGGAGGAAGTGCCAGTCATAAGGGAAGAGCTCTAGTCCTGGACTCTGTCTTCCTCTGGAAGAAGCCGCGGCTTCCTCTGGATCGTCCCCATTCCTGTCTGAGGGCTGCCGGCCCCGCCCGGGGCTGTCACCCTCCCTCTCTCCTCCAGCACCGGCGCTGGGCCTGGGCAGGAGCCAAGGCCGTCCCCTCTGAACTCAAATAAAACCCAGTGACCTCAACTCCTCTCTGCAAAAGGTGATTTCCTGTTCCCTCACTCACAGCAGTAATCAACACAGAAGACTTCTGTGACCAAACGCGTGGGGCTTTTTCTCCACAAACCAAGAAAGCAATCAGTTCTGCAGTGGACACCGGCTACGTGTCCTCCAATTCAATTCTGACACCATCCACTCGGAGACAGTGTCAGGTCCCACAGGCCGAGGGCTCAGTTCCCCGAGACTACCCCCATTCAGATGCAAGTTGGGGCTTCCAGAACTTCTGACCGTCGGGTCAGCTTCACACTGGGATTCCCGCAGCCCCTCTCCACATCTTGAGTTCCATTAATTCGCTGGAGCCGCTCACAGAACTCAGGGAAACACTTACTTACATTGGCCGGTTTGTTGTAAAGGGTATTACCAAAGACACAGATGCAGAGGTGCGTAGAGTGAGGTGTGGAGGAAGGGGCGCAGAGCTTCCGTGCCTCCCTGGACGCACCACCCTCTAGGAACCTCTCCATGTTCTGCTCTCTGGAAGTCCTCTGAACCGTGTCCTGTTGGGGTTTTATGGAGACTTCATTACGTAGGCATGATTGATTAAGCCATTGGCCATTGGTGATCAACTTAACCTTCAAGCTCCTCTTCCCTTCCCAGAGGTTGGGGTTTGGCTAAAAGTCCCAACTCTCTAATCCTGCCTTGGTTTTTCCTGTGCCCAGTGTGATCCTGAAGCTACCTAGGGGCTGCCAGGCCTCATTAGCATAAGAAAAAAACATCATTTGGGGGATTTTTTTTTTTTTTTTTTGAGACAGAGTTGCTCTGTTGCCCCAGCTAAAGTGCGGTGGCATCATCATAGATCACTACGACCTCAAATTTCTGGGCTCAAGCAATCCTCCTGCCTCAGCCTTCCAAGTAGCTGGGACTATAGATGTGCACTACAATGGCTACCTAATTTTTCTATTTTTTGTAGAGATGGGGTCTTGCTCTTTTGCTCAGGCTGGTCTTGAACTCCTGACCTCAAGCAATCCTGCCTTGGCCTCCTAGAGTGCTAGGATTATAGTCATGAGCCATTTTAGAGATTCTTAAGGTTTTAGGAACTGTATACCAGGAAACGGGGTCCAGTTGAAAACCAAATACACAATTCCAGTACATCACATCCCTCCTAGGAGGGCCTAAAACATGTCCCTACAGTTTCCTAGGGATAAGAGAGAGCTGCCATGGTTGGAAATGTGAGCAAGCTTGTTGGCATATGGAGCCACTTATATGCATGGTGACACCCCAGGTGCTCAGAGCCACCATGAGAGAAAAGAAAATTGAGGCAAACTATGCAGGCAGGCCACCTTGCGGCATGCCTGCTCTGACCGCTGCATTCGATCTGTGCCCCTCCCAGAACCCGCCTCTCACACCGGTCTACACCCGTGGCTGCTCACTTTCCACACTCTGCCTTTGTCTCTAGCTGCTGTGGGTGGGCCCTGGGTGCCTGCCTGACACGGAGCAGGGCAGGGTTCCTAACCAGCCAGATTCAGCATCTTGGCTCTCTCAGTCCTGCTCTCCCCAGAAATTCTTCTGGCTGGGGGCCCTTTCCTTAGGAACAGAGCCCTGGGCCCCACTTGGATCTGGGAACCTGAGGTCAGTGGCACTAATGACTTTCAGTTTCTTTTGTGAGTGTCTCTGCTCTGCCGAAGCCCTGGGAGGGAGACAGAACAGACGCTCTAATCTTCATTTGACAGACACGGAAACTGAAGCTTAGACAACAGAAGAGGCTCCAGCCAAGTCCCAGGCTGAGCAGTGGCAGGGCTGGGAAGGGATTCAGATTTTGGGGGTGGGTGAAGGGAGGCTGCTGGAGGAATGGAAGTGCCCCAGGCAGGCTCTGACCACTCTGGCTTTCCTGGGAGCTGCACTGGAAGCCGAGCCCCTCCATCCATCACCTACTGCAGCACCTGCCTGTGGCCCCTCTTCCCTGGCCCTCATTCGGGAGAGAATCCCTAGGCACCAGCTGGCCAGCCAGGCCAAGGAACTGGCTGAGCAGTAAGTAGAACCAGGTGTGGGGCTGGGCCCCTGTGACGTGGACCTGTGTGACACGTGTTTCTGTGGAGTGATTTAGCGAGACTGCATCGGAGTCTGGGTGTGTGGGTCCATTGTGCTACTGTGTATCTAGGGCCATGTACAACTTCTCCACTTTGTTGCTATGTGCGTGGTGAGGTTTGGGTTGAATTGAGTGTCCTTGGAGATGGACCCTCAAGGGGTGGGGCTCTGTTTAACAGCCCCCATGGGGAGTACTGGGCAGAGAGGGTGGGGAGGAAAGTGCTGAGGAGTTGCAGAGGCTTCAAACTGGTCAGACAACTTCGGGAACCCAGTAGCAGGAGCCAAGAAGGAGAGGAGAGGACAGGTGGAAAGAGGAACGGGCTGGAGGCCAGACAGGCGGACGGATTCAGGGCTGTGGCATGAAGCTGCTGCCCAGCTGGAGAATGGTGCTGCCCGTGGGCCCTCCGGCGTGGCCATGGACGTGGCAATTCAGAAGTAGGTGGACCCCTAGGGTACTGGGGCTGGGGCAGCCCAGAGGGGAGCAGAAGGGGCACCCCAGGCCCAGCCTCTTCCATCTGAGGAGCCTGAGTTCCTCTGGACCCCTCCGCATCTCCCCCTCTGCCATCCCTCAGGCACTAGGGCCAGCCTGGGCTCGGTCTGCCAGGAGGGGAAACCGGCTGGGCACAGGACTGGCTTCCTGGGCTGTGTGACAAGAAATTACATAGGACCCAGTGCTTAGGCCCCATACTCAGTCTAACTCTCTACTGTCTCTACCTTGAAATTCTTAATACTTTTGGAACAAGGGCCCCACATTCTCAGTTTGCACTCGGTCCCACAAATTTATGTAGTTGGTCCTGGCTGGGAGGGGAAGGGAATCCTTGTCCCAACACAGGGGCCAGGCCAGGCCAGCTTAGGCAGCTGTCAGCAGGGTCCCATCTGTTGCCTGCTGCAGGGACCCGGGGCAGTTCCGACCAGCCTGAATTTTAGGATTGGTTTTCTAAAACCTTGCTCCCTTGGGTGGCTTTGCTCAAATCACACTTACTACATCTGTTTCCTCAGCTGTCAAAGAGGCTAATGCCACCCAGCACCCGCGGTTACATATGGCAATGCGTATACTATATATTGCTTGGCAACAAGAATGGTTATGACAATGATGATAATGATTAACTTGTTATTAATAAATGGGGAAGGGCCTCATACAGGGTGTTGCATAATAAGCACCATTTCTACTCCCTTTCTCCCACCTCGCCCAGTGCTTGGTAAACTTCCAAGGCTGTCGCCTCCTCACCGCCCGCCCCCCGCCCGACTCTGGCCCTCTCTTGGAAAACAAGAACAGGTCCCGTGCCCAGGCTCAGGTGCAGGCAGGGAAGGGACTGCCCAGGAGGCAGAGGCGGCAGAGGCTCGGCGGCCTTTACCACTATGGCCAAAGTTAATACGTTACCTCTGCCCAGGCCCCGCTTTCGCAATCCAGGGCAAGGAGACCTGGTTACAGATTTACTTCGAACAGTGTCTGATATGTGGAGTAAAGTCCTCCCCGGCTTTTGTAAACTCATCCCCTCTTCTCCTCAGGAACTGCTCAGACCCGTGCCCCAAAGATGAGGGCCCAGGAGGACTCCGAGGGCCGGACACAGGTGCTGGGGGATGGGTGGGAGCGGGGTGGGGGCAGGGCAGGTGGGGGCTGGAGGGCCTGTGCCTCTGGGAGGCCAGAGACAAAATTTCTGATGAACTTGATAAGACAGTGACTGTCCCCAGCTGAATGTGGCAATTGGGGATGCGGTGGAGGTGGGGGTGAAGGAGCCTTCAGCTTTGGGACAGGCTAATTCCAGCTTGGGAGCCAGTAGGGGCCCAAACTCTCTGCCAGTGACACCCCAGGGATCTCCAGGGGCAGAAGTGGGACTGGATCGGGCTTGTCCACAGTCTTGAGCCCTCTTGTTCCCCCCTCCTAGTGCTCTTAGGTCTTCTGACTTAGAGGTCCGTTCCCCTGGCTAAAATGCCCAGGTCCGGAGGGCTCTAGAAGCCAACACAGTGGACTCATCCCTGCAGGCGGCAATGTGAGGCGGGAGGCAGGTGTCCGAGCGGAGTGACAACTGGGTGGACGGACTGTGGGGGAGGGTGAGGACCCGATGCTGAGTTGCCGACAGGCCGCTTGGGCTACCTGATTGATTCTGGGCCGGAATGGATTTTGCCGTCCCTGTCGCTCCACCCTGAGCTACTTCTCTCTGCTGCCCCCAGCATGAGCACACCAGGGACCCCCCGATGTCCCTGCCCGCGGAGCCCAAGTTTGACATGTTGTACAAGATTGAGGACGTGCCACCTTGGTACCTGTGCATCCTGCTGGGCTTCCAGGTGGGCTTCCCCCAGGCTCTCCCCACCCTCACTCCGCACACTCGCCGGGGATCCCAGCCCCTCCCTGGCCAGTGAGGTGTTATCCTTGGTAACAGGAAGAGAAACCAAAGGTCAGCACAGCGACTGTCATGACACAAGGGTGAGGAAGAGGCTCGATGGGGCCTAAGAGAGGATTAACCCCCTGGGAGTGTGTGACACGCGCCAGGTGGAGTGTGGGTAACAGGGAGAAGGGCCCACCCCACGGAAGCCACAGGAATAACTTTTGGGAGATTATTGGCCCCAGATTGGTGAGCAGTAACTTTCTGGGAGTCCTTTGTGGGGAGTCAGTCCTGGGTGGGCACATTGCCAAGGGTGGCACGGGTTCAGGCCCGCCGAGGCTGGCGTGAGGACTCCAGGGTGCCCCAGTTTCCCTGTGGGCTCTGCCGGCCCTGCCTCAGGTCCCCGCACGCTCTCTCCCGCCAGCACTACCTGACGTGCTTCAGCGGCACCATCGCCGTGCCCTTCCTCCTGGCCGAGGCGCTGTGCGTGGGCCAAGACCAGCACGTGGTCAGTCAGCTCATCGGCA